TCTTAAAAATATTTTTTTGGGGGGGGGGAGGGGGATGATGAACAACCTGTAATAAAAAAGGCTGTCAGGACTCTTGCTAATGATAGTATTGACAATTTGTTTTGCAAATCTAGGGCTGTTTTCTTTCCGTACGCAAATGAACAAGTAAACAACTTGAAGTTATTTCCCTAACCGGTCAAAAATCATCCTTGCATTTATGTTTATGCAAAAAACCGTATAAACAATTATTTTTCGGGGCAAGATTTTTTTTTTAAATACTAGAAGACAGGAAATTATGCGAATTCAATGAATGATTTCTGAATAAAAAGAGTACACGACCAGTGCTTTGGATTCAACTTATATCAACTAAAAACAAATTTACCAAAAAAAAAACTATGATCTTCAATTATTTTAATATAAACTTGATTTACCAATCATTGATAAGAAAAATTTGATACTTTTTTGCATCAAGAATTTTTTCACGATGTTCTGGTTGAAAGTTTGTCACCTGGATCCGGATCCCAGGGGCTAAAATAATCCGAATCCTAAGCACTGTTATTAATTTAGTACCTGTTGGTGTGGGGTTTGTCAACAACCAAGCTAAGAGTACAGGATCCTAAATAAATCACAATCAATAAATCAATCAATCAATGAAGCAATGAAGCAATCAATGAATGATTATCAGACATGATTTTGTCGCTTTGGGGGTAAAATTTTAAAATAGAACATCAAAAGACGAATTGATTCACCCTTTTCGACACTTTCTTCCAAAAAACCATTTATTTCCCCATATTCAGCAAATACATACAGAACTAACATTTGGGGAAAATTATATCCAAAAGGGGGCGGGGAAAATGAAAAATTGGACAACGAAAAGCAAGTTTTTTTTTATCTATTTTGATACTTTTTACCCAACAAACATTTGTTTTCACTGACAATAGTTTATTTCCCCAATTCAGCGAATAAAACCCCGTTGTGATTCAGGCAAACATACATAACTTCTGGGAGAAATGATTTTCTAAAGGGATGGAATACCTGGGCCTCCTGCAACAACTTTACAAACACCAAGAGCTCTGTCTAACCCTTCCCCTTCTCCTAATCCTTTCAAAACCTACAATTTTAATTTAAGTATTGTTAACTGCTGACTGTAATATCATTTTTTAAGCGATTGCTTAGAATCCATTCTAATAATTTTCTAGAGAACGATTTTTGAACTCTTGGCACCACTGCTGAACATGGTGAAAGTTGGACATTAATCCTTAAAGAAATGAAAATATCGTGGATCCGCAATCTTTTATAGTGCGGATTCAGAAAGATTCGGATTCTAAGCACTGTAAAGCATTTAGCCTTTTAAAACAATATGTTCCTCTACATTCAAAATAATATTTTCTCCATTACTACAAAATTATTAATAATTTGTTACATAAGACAACTAAATAAAGCGTATGTCTATATACACCTGATGTAATAAGGTTTTAACTCTAGACCCAGAACCCGCCATTCTACCTGAAGCAAAAATTCATATTTTGGTAATTTCCTAGAGAACGAACTTTGTACTTGGTCAAAGTTAGAAATGTGTAATAATGATTTTACTGAAAAACAAATGGTCGTATTCCCTAAATGTGCAGAAAACCCNTGAGTGCAGAAGAAATGTGCAAGCAAAAATCGTATACTAGGACAGAGCCCAGAAGTAGTCCTAACCTAACCTTACCCTGAAATAATACAGAATAGATATTTTTTGTTGAAAATAGTTGAAATTTAGATCATGTCAATAAATCGTATACAGTGGACCCGAGAACACCATTTTCCTCGTAAATACAACATGGTGCAATAGCAATACATCACTTAACTTTTTAGTTTAGAGTAAACAAAATAAACATAATTTTAATCAAATAAAAATAAAATCAGGAAATTTTACATTAGAATATAATCAATATAGTTAGATAACATGATATGTCAAGGTTTGAAGTTTTAGCGTCACTTGGATTGGACATCAAGAAAATTGCGTTCTTGAACTTTTGTTTTTGTGTCTCGTTGCAAGCGCAAAGTGGTCATTAATGCCGCAATTCATTTTACCTCGAGAATTACGAACTTTTAGAAAATTATTGAGGATTCGTACTTTATTCAAAAATGCAGTTATTTGTACATAAAGAATAGTTTTACAGAATTACATGGCATTGTATTAGGATGTTTTATAATCATATTTTTAAATATGGAAAATGTGAAAATAGTTTAATCGTCTTTTATTAAAATACGCCAAAGTCGTCTTTTATTTACAAAAAATTGGGAAATTCGCCAAAATTGGGAAAATACATATGTTACATGCAGGAAAAAAGAGAAGGGGTCGTACACTGGCAAGGGAAAATTATAGGAAGAGAAAGCTGGGAAAGAAAAGGGAGGGTATGGAAGGAAAGGTGAAATTAGGAAGGGAAAGGAGAAAGGTAATTGGAGGGAATGGGCGAATTATTTAGGAATCTAGGGGTTAGGTAGGGAGGGGAAGGTATGGTATAGGGAAGGTTAGGAGGAGAATTTAGAAAGGTTATATCATGTACAGGGGAGAGGAGGAAGGGGAAAGCTTTCTTATCTCTGTTTAACAAATTTCCTTACAAATAATCACAACTATCCCCCACTTAATTATTCATTGTCTTGTTCGACCAATAATTACAAAATGCATTTCAAACGCACAAAGAGGTTATTGCGCTCTGTGCAAACCTTCAGAATGGAGAAGGAAAAAAAAAAAATAGAATTTAAAGAAAACTAAAAGCTCTTGATAGAGGAACATGGGAGAGGAAAGAAAGAAAATAATTAGAGAAACCATGCAAGATAAACTAAGAAAGTGGGTAGGGTAGAGAGGAGAGAGAAGGCTAGGATTGATCAAAAAGTAAAATAGAAAAGAGTTCAGCACTATACAGCCTCGACGTTTGTATTAAGGACACATTTGATGGAGAGAGAAGAGGACCGGAGAATTGGGGAGAGGGAGGACTAGGGAGGGTTTAGGAGGGCTGGGGAGGATTTTGGAGGGCTGAGGTGGGTTTAGGAGATTTTTTTAACTAAACTATTTTAATCAACCAAAATTTAATTCTAAACCGTTCAATTTATTAATAAAAACAAAACAAAAAATTAAAAAATTTAAAATCCCTGAAAATTTTGAAAATGTCCTCTAGTGGGAATAATGATATTTTCAACATTTCTCAAATTTTTAAGATTTGAGAAAGCGTGGGCGTAGATGTGTATCAGTCTTTCAAAGCTCGCGAAATCAAGCGATTTAAAGTTTTAATATTCTGAAAATATTTTAGAGAAACACCTTCAAACTTTGAAAACAACGTTTTTTTCAACTTTTTGGACAATATTAAGAGATGGTGTGCTCGCAAAAAAAGGGGGTATAGGCTGATATAGAATTAAATTCGATATTGATTGCTACTAATCTCAGGTCCGTAGCCAGGATATTTGCAGGGCAAGAAGGCGAAATTTTTTTTTTTTTTTAAACAATTGGTTTGTTTTTACAGAGGTATATGGTTGTTTTTATTACATTGTCAATGCACAGTGCACATTATAAAGACTAACCTTTTAACAAGTGTATTTGAGCTCTCAATTGGGTTACATTTTAGTGTCTGAAATTTTCAGTTTACATATACATATAGTTATCAATTATTACTTTGACTTTGCAATATGATAATTGTAAAAATTTCTTTTATATGGGACATGGGGGGGGTGCAAATTCGTTATTGCCCCCCCTTTCATTAGGAAGGGAGGTGCTCCTGTCCCCCTGCATCCCCCCCTGGCTACGGGCCTGACTAATCCTACTTCTATCTGCTGCATCTTTAAAAGGGGAAATTTCTGGAAAGTGAACACGTCTTAAACCCGAAAACGTAGCGTTCATATAAACTCACAGAGTTGAATTATTCAACTCAGATTGTAAATAATTCAATAAAATTTAAAACTAATCATTTAGATATTACAACCTATAAATGACGAATTCAATTCGATGCATTCGTATACAGTTAATTTTTTTTATTTTATATAGTCCGAGTATTACTTTTGAAAATATTCGTTCCTTAAATTTCGAGGATTTTGATAACGAAGACAATGTTATCATATTTTCCTGGAATTTTCGAAAATCCTGCGCCAACCATGAAAAGAAGTTTTCAACAAAATTTTAAATAAATTTTTTTTTTAAGTTATTTGCCATTCATGGCGATTTTTAATAATATTCTTTAAATCTGAAAGTCTAAAACTTCTTTTACTCGGGCCGAGTAAAAGAAGAAACTCGGGCCTCGGGGGGCTTTAATTCCAAGGCATAGTCCTTTGGAAGAAGACCTTCTGTAGCTTTAGCTTTTATCCCTTTTTTTGGGACACCCTGTATAATTATGAATTACTCTCTTTCTTGATATAAGGTTTCTCATCGCGTCCTCATGAAATTTTAAAAATATTTTTGTGCATATATATTTATATATATTTGATGTTAATATTGTCTAATGTCAATATTTAAAACTATCATTCTGATATTTTAGGAAAGAGGGTTGTAATTAGCAATATATGAAATTAATGTTCTTGGCAATTAATTATTTGCCTCCAATTCTTATTTTCAAATCCCCATATCTTTGCAACTTGATCATTTAATCATTTGAAATTTAAAACTTCAACTTTTTGATCTATTGATGTATCGAAATATAAGGTTGCAAAGATATCAGGAATTTAAAAATAGGTTCCGCCAAGTCTTGACATAGTTTTACCGCTCAAAAATTCAAAATCAATCGAAAAAAGGTGTAAAATATTGTTTATATTTCAATACTTTCTTCGCTCAAATATACATTTATTTGTTTATATGTTGCACAAACGACTGGACCAAATTGGGTGGAATTTATTGAGGTTATTCATGGGTATCCTGGGCGTAACATAGGCTAAAAAATCGATTTTTTTCTTCAAAAATCGGAATTTGTATTTCAATTTCGGAAATTTTTTTCTTCTAAATTCGATTTATTCTCCCTTCTTTTTAAATTTATGCGGACATATAGTCAAAAAAAGTATAAAATAAAAATTTAAGAAAAATCTTCATTTACCGGGTAAAAATGTGCTTCAAAAGTTAATGCTTATTGACTTTTAACCAGGACTCATGAGCTTTATTTTCTAGCAATAAAATCTGCAGCTTTTAGACCAAAATGGTGAAAGAAATTCTAACATTTAATTTGTCTCGGTCTAATTCCTCCCAGTCCTGGGGGTTCAGGTAATTAATCATTCTTTTATAAAAAGCTGGTTTTTGGTATGCAACAATTTTCATTTAATCCCACCGGGATATTTTCATTGAAAGATACTTTGAAAATCTACAAAGGCAAAAAAAAATCCGCAAAATCCGCAAGCCCTCAGGTTTATCATTGAATCCCATCTTTAAAAAGGAATGTCATTTACTCTCAGACAAATTAGAATCAATGGAAATTTAAACCCCCCGCCCTCGAGGGATTCAATTATAAACCCGAGGGCGTAGCCCAAGGGTTTATCATTGAATGTCTCGAGGGGGTTTAAATTTCCATTGATTCTAATTTGTCTAAGAGTAAATGATACATTTATTTAATAAATATTATTAATATAATTTTTAAATAATATTTTGTAGTCACCGCGAGGACGGTCTCTAATGAAACAAGGAATAACGATCCAGTAACGATCGATATTTTATCTTTGTTTATTAAATTAACATTTTAATATTTAAGAATAATTAGTAAAAATCATTATTTTTTTCTCTTACTTCATTCATTTTCTATTTTGTTATTAAATTAGACAAAAAATTAAATGATTCAATCTGTTACCTATGTCACTTAAGTTTAAAAACGTATTTAATTCACAAATATAAAGATTGTAAATCAAACATAGAACCCTTTTTAACAAAAGTTTTAAATATGTCTATCGAATCTAATTGATAGTAAAATTTATTTAGATAATAACAATTTTATAAAACTGATAATTTGTTTTTTTACATAAATGTTTATATAATAATAAGAACAATTCATTATTATCATTCTTTCGATGGCTTCGAAGTTCTATGTTAAACTGTATATTATTGTTTAGGTTAGGAGGAGGGGTAGATAGAGGACGTGTACTGCAAGTTGAAAAGGTAAACAATTGTCTCGTTGAAGAGAAAATGAAAAAAATGTGAAAGCTGTACACTTCCATACAGTAAAAGCTGTAAACTTTTATGTAGTAAAAATTGTACACAACCCTGCAGTACAATGTACAGTGAACTCCTGTAAAAACTGTACACTGCACGGCACAGCTGTAAAAATGGTACATTGCACTGCAGCACAGGTCTTGGGATTTCCACCTTTTAAATTGACGAATATATTTAAAATTCTGTAGAGTAAAAAAAGTAGATGTTAGTTCCACATTTATTGAAGATATATTTCAGTCTGGGTTGACCCTCGTCAGTTTTGAAATTGTTTCTGTCACAAAGATTAAAAACAAACTGATTTACTGGAGATATAGTATACTAAGAGATTTTTACAGATTCGAATTTAATGACTTTTCAACAAAATTGTGTAAATATGTAATACCAATTTTATAGATAAAATTAAGGTAGATCACATTTTGGAAAGTTCAAGAAGTACAGCCTTTGGCATTCATTGATTACATCAAAATCAAAGGCGTCTCCCAAATCCCATATTCATTGGGACACCTTGTGAAAAGAGTGGAAAACGACAGTACCTTTAATAAACAATAACTTTTTTGACTTTCTGATTAACATTTTTAGATGAACCTTTTTAAAACCTTTTCAGAACATTTTTAGATATTTAGAATATTTTAAGAACGTTTTTAGACAAACCTTTTAAGAACATTTTTAGAACATTTTTAGATAAACCTTTTTAGAGCATTTTAAGAACATTTTTAGATAAATCTTTTAAAAACATTTTTAGAGCATTTTTAGATAAACCTTTTTAGCATATTTTAAGAACGTTTTTAGACACACCTTTTTAAAACATTTTTAGAACATGTTTAGATAAACCTTTTTAGAACATTTTTAGAACATGTTTAGATAAATCTTTTTAGAACATATTTAAAACGTTTTTAGACAAACCTTTTTAGAACATTTTTAGAACATGTTTAGATAAACCTTTTAAGAACATTTTTAGAACATTTTTAGATAAATCTTTTTAGAACATATTTAAAACGTTTTTAGACAAACCTTTTTAGAACATTTTTAGAACATGTTTAGATAAACCTTTTAAGAACATTTTTAGAACATTTTTAGATAAATCTTTTTAGAACATATTTAAAACGTTTTTAGACAAACCTTTTTAAAACATTTTTAGAACATTTTTACATAAACTTTTTTTAAATTCTGTAGATTATGAATATAAGATAAATAGAATAAATCTACGTCAGAAGAAAAATCTAAGATTTATAAATTGCTTGTTTATCCAATTATAAGACGTACACAAAAAAAGTTATAAGATACAAAATTTTTTTCCTACAAATAAATCAGACTCAGGAAATTTTGCGAACTCATTACGCTTTACACCCCTGCTTATGTGCCAATCTTTTCATCGTAAATTTTCCATTTTCTATGAATTCATTAAATTCTATATTCTATGATGTCTATTAATGTTTGGCTTGGGTGCCTGTTTGTTTGTATAGTTGTATAGTCTCGACAAACTTAAATCCTAAATTGTATAATCTCTTAAAGACTTAAATCCTAAATTGTATATAGTCTCTTAAAGACTTAAATCCTAAATCGTATAGTATACTAAAGACTTAAATCCTAAGTTGTATAGTCTCTTACAGACTTAAATCCTATGTTGTTTGGTCTCTTAAAGACTTAAATCCTAATTTGTATAGTCTATGAAAGACTTAAATCCTAAATTACATAGTCTCTGAAAAACTTAAATCATAAATTGTATAGTCTCATAAAGACTTAAATTCTAAATTGTATAGTCTCTGAAAGACTTAAATCCTAAATTTTATAGTCTCTTAAAGAAAACACAATTTTAAAAATGCATAAGAACAGAGGCGTACACATGAATTTGTTTATAGGGCGTGGGATTAAACATTTATAACATATTCACAAAAAAGGGAGGGGNGGTAGAAAGATAGAGAGGTAGAAAGGTAGAAATGTAACATCATTTCATAAATGAGGCCTCTATGCGTTCCTCCCAGTGGGGGCATCCGTAGGGGGGTACGTGCACCCCCTACGCCCCTGAAAGGAATCCATGGGTAACCCGGAAGTTACATAGGCTAAAAATTTTGATATTTTTTTCAAGAGGGAAATTTAAAAATATCAATTTTTTATTTCCACGGGCAACGTGGGGCACATCAGCTAGTTGTTTATTTCAAGATTATAATAATTTTCATTCTTAGAGGTGATCATATTGTACCAAGCTTCAAAGAGGCCTTCCCGTCCCAGAAAACAATGGATGAAAATGATGAAGAGAAAAAAATGAAAAAGAAATCAACTTCCTACTTTATGAAATCACTGGAGGAGGGAAAGGTATTATTAATTGAATGTTAAAAAATTTAAAATGCTTGTGTGCAAAACCGTTTGGAAACAAAGTTAACTAAAAATCAAATTATGAGCAAAAATCACTCATCAGCATATACTTTTATATATTATTCATTTTTCTCTTACATCAGTTACAAGCCTATAACATGATAACAGGATCACCTGAAAATAGTAGTTTTTCTGATCTTTCGGATGTTTTCAACTGATCTATAAAATGATGTATATAAGTAAAAATGTGTATCCAATTATTATCAGGACACTGTCGTTTTTTTTAGCTCTAGCTCTAGTTAATTAATGTAATTTTTATTTTTTTTCAATAGCTATTTAATCAATGTACCTTATTTTATTTTGACATAAGACAATTTTTCTAATCTATATAATAAAACTCTTCGCTTTTATACATTAACATATCTATAGAACATTTTCTTTTGTTTATTCGATTATTGCTGGGTCAATTTTTACATATTTTTAAAATCTAAATATTAGTATTATTGGATTGGTATTGTCAATCTGAATATTAGTATTATTGGATAGGTATTGTCAATCTAAATATTAGTATTATTGGATAGGTATTGTCAATCTAAATATTAGTATTATTGGATAGGTATTGTCAATCTAAATATNTTTAGTTATTAGAAGAAAATAAAACACGACCATAATCGTATTTTTCTCCGGTCCCCACATTGTGAACAGTTATCCTTATTTACATAATCAAACTAAATATATGTAGAGATGTATTGAGAAAAGAAGTATTCAACACATGATCAGAATTTTTGTTGTATCAACATGTATGCAAATATATATACATACACATATATATATATGTATAAGATATATATATGATAAATATATGTATATATATATATATATTATCTGCAGGGTGTGAGGGGAGTAGCTAGTGGATTCTCTACTGTTGGTAAACCTAAGATGGCGCAGAAGCAGTACAATTCCCCTCTACAGATGTACTCGGACGAGGCTATCGACGAAATTATGAGAGAAGGAACACTTAAGTAAGTTCTGAGAATATGTTATTAAGGGATTGACTAGGAGACATGGTATTTGAGCTGATGAGAGTCAGGGGCGTATTCCGGGAGGGGAGGCTATGGGGGCTAAGTCCCCCCTGGACCTGTGTAATCTATTGATTTCAGGGGGTTTTCAGGCCCAACGAGTGCTGAGCCCCCCTGGAAAGAAAAAAAATGTAAGCCCCCCCCCTGGAAAAATTCCTGAATACGCCCCTGATAAGAGTGCATTATTATTGAGAAAAAGTTCAGGATTCATTTGACACTAATTTAAGATACTTTACGGTGTATAATTGCTGAGTAAAAGCGCAAAATCGATTTTTAAAATTCCCAGAATTCCCGTTTTGTGTCAGGTTACATTTAAAACTATTCAAGAATTTTTGTTACATTTTTATTGTTATTATTTAATAATATTGAATATTTTGTTAAAAACCCGATTTTTAAATGTATCCTCCAAAATGGACACTTCATTATGGAGGGAATTCTGATGGTTGAATTTGCACTCTTACTCAGCAATTATAAACCGTAAAATCTTCTTATTGGTATCAAGGGTGTAATGCAAGGAAAGTTAATTGCGGTCGTGTATACTCTGCGTACATATTGAAACCAGTTCTCTTTGGGCGGAATTTGTAAACAAGAATAGATGCATCAGTGTTCGTTTAGTATCCGAGGAGGTTAAAAGCATTAAATTTGATATTTTTGATAATTCACATAATAGTTTCCTATGATCAGAATAGTTCATTGATTTTTTTATGTGAAAGATGGATCCCATGTCTTGTGTTTACATTACCGCTCAGAGACAGTACACTGCAGTACAAAAGATGCGTACACTTCTGAAATAACTTTCCTTGCATTACATCCTTGATTGGTATCAAATGAATCCTAAAATATGTTTTTAATAACACTACACTCTCACCTTAACTACAATGTATAACATGTCATTCCAATTAAAGGGAGTGTTTAGAAAACTTTATAAAGGTATATTAATTATTCTGGCACTACTTTAATGTCTATACGAAGGATTTGAGTCTTTGCCAGACTCTGATTTTTAAATCCCCATATCTTTGCAACCCAATGTCGTAGACCTTAGATATTTCAAACTATGGCTTCTGTTAGATTAGTTTAAAATATCAAAGGTTTGCATAAAGAAAAATTCCAGGGTTTAAGACTTGATTTCGGGGTCCGTTAAAGAACCGTTTTTTACTTGTTGTCTTTTTGTTTAAATAGGATAAACATGAATTTAAAACAGAAAAATTAGCTTTTTTGCGAGCAATCCCTTTAAACAAGTTCTTCGAAACTGTTTTTAATCAATATTCAATTTTATGTTTTTCTTCAAAAACATATTTTTCTATTTACATTTACAGATTTATTCTACAATTTTTAATCAAATACAAAATGACAGTTTAATATCTTAATTTCAATTCATAATTCACATTCTTAAAGAATAACACTAATGACTTTTTTCCGGGTTCCTCAGTTATAATCTATTGAAATCCTAACCGGCCATAGCCATATTCCACAACATTTTGTCACGCCGACCCGATCGTTGGAGCCGTTTCAGCATTTACTGAAGAAAAACAATATTTTCCACACAACCACAATTCTGTATTTACGATATTAAGAATTTACAAGTCACCATTTCTTTGTGATGAAATAATTTTTTTAACAATTTTTTTTATTTTTTATTTTTATAAAATAGAATGAAACGAGGAATAGTTAATAATTTCAAATGTCATCTGTTTTCTCCATTCTCCATCTGTGTAATAAAATTCTAGATTTATTGTTTTTAGTGGGAAACCGTTTGATATGAACAATCTAATGAACCCATCAGGTAGGTTAATATGAACATTATAATGAACCAAACTATTAGTCTAACGTGAACAGTCTAATGAACCCAACTATTAGTCTAACTTGAACTATTAGTTAAGTATGAACAATCTAATGAACCCAATTATTAGTTTAATATGAACAGTCGAATGAACCCAATTATTAGTTTAATATGAACAGTCTAATGAACCCGACTATTAGTTTAATATGAACAATCTAATGAATCCAATTATTAGTTTAATATGAACAATCTAATGAACCCAATTATTAGTTTAATATCAACAGTCTAATGAACCCGACTATTAGTTTAATATGAACAATCTAATGAACCCAATTATTAGTTTAATATGAACAATATAATGAACCCGACTATTAGTTTAGTATGAACAATCTAATGAACCTAACTATTAGTCTAACCTGAACTTTCTAATGAACCCAACTATTAGTTAAATATATAAGGTCTAATGAACCCAATTATTAGTTTAGTATGAACAGTCTAATGAACCCAACTATTAGTTAAGTATGAAAAATCTAATGAACCCAACTATTAGTTTAATATGAACAGTCTAATGAACCCAACTATTAGTAATCTAATGATCACAACTATTAGATGAACAATCTTATAAGTTTTTTTTGAAATTTTAGATATCTGTCTAATTTTGGTCGATACAATATCTCAAAAGTCAAGCGCCAATGTCCGATGTAGCTTTTGTATTAATTGTATAACAAAACTTAATTTTTTCATTTTTGAGAAAATATGACGCACACGCTTATTGATTCTAAAATAAAATACATTCTTTATTTAAAAAAGTATATACTAATACTTTCATAATGAAGCTGTATTGGAAAGATTTTCATTCCATATTATTATTTTGTTCAGATTTAATTTTAGTGCAATTGATGAACTTTAATTGATTCAGGAGCTGAATTCTCGCAGTCAGATTCTCTTGTCCTCTCTCTTATAAACGAACAGGAGGGCGGAAGGAAAGTGTAAAGCAAATGTATTGTCAGTATGGAAAGAATTTTAAAGAAAAAATATAATCTTAAAATAAAAATGTTCCCAATTACTTCTTAAAAATGAAAGTTCAAAACAATTTGTATTTCTTAATGCTTTCATTTATTTGATTTTACGAAAACAAATGTTCATCTCGATATCCGATGTGAGTACTTTTTGGATTTTAGGACCAATTCTTGATCCTTAAATATATTAGGGATCTCAGATCCAAAATATTAGGTCAATATCTCTATAATTTATGACTTAGAAATACTTTTTTTTATGATCAAAAATAGATTTGGCTAGATTTTAAGTTATGGCTTTATAATATATTTGGGATCTCAGATACAAAATATTAGGTCAATATCTCTATTATTTATGACTTAGAAATGTGTCTTAGAAGCCTATATCTCTGAAAGTAATAGATATCAAAGAAATAATTTAGGACAATGTTTCTATAGATAGTAGTGAGCTATAACCAAATTTCAGCCAAATCTAAAATTTTTGTCAAAAAAATCTCAAGAAAACCAAAGGCAATTAATTGCCTACTATACTTTTTTTTATGATCAAAAATAGATTTGGCTAGATTTTAAGTTATGGCTTTATAATATATTAGATATCTCAGATCCAAAATATTAGGTCAATATCTCTATTATTTATGACTTAGAAATGTGTCTTAGAAATACTTTTTTTTATGATCAAAAATAGATTTGGCTAGATTTTAAGTTATGGCTTTATAATATATTAGGGATCTCAGATCCAAAATATTAGGTCAATATATCTATTATTTATGACTTAGAAATGTGTCTTAGAAGCCTTTTTCCTGAAAGTAATAGATATCAAAGAAATAATTTAGGACAATGTTTCTATATATAGTAGTGAGCTATAACCAAATTTTAGCCAAATCTAAAATATTATATTAATCTTTAGATGAACAAAATCAGGAGCTCAAGCATTGATTTCTATATCCACAATTTTTCCAAATGATTGTAAATAAAAGAGTATTTTTAAAAACGTCATAGTTAAATAAAATCTGATAAAAGTCAAAAGAAAATAACAGAAAAAATACAATTTCATTTATCTTCTATTTTTGGGAGAAATCGGAAATAAATTTACTAAAGATTTCACCAATAATTGCTTTCGAAAAAAATAAACACCCACTCTGATATTGAAAATGTCCTAAACTATTCTGAAACTGCCAATACCGTAGAAATATAAAACTAAAGTTAAATCTAAATTTCATTCATTCTTTTTCTAAGTTTTCGTTGAAATTTTGCAAACTTTTCTAAGAATAGTTTTCAAGTTTAAAGGGAGTGTTCGCGAAAAATGACAGGTGGTATAGGCTTACGGCGAAAAATAAGTACTTTCGATTGCTACTAATCTTACTTCAATCTGTTGGGTCTATAAGAAGAAAATTGTTAAAAACGACTCATACCGAAGAACGTAGGGTCCATACAAATTCAGAAAGATGCAACATTCGACTCGGATCGTAAAAAATCAATTTAATTCCAAACAAATCATTTAGATATTACAAACAATTGACATCGATAATTTTTCGATGGATTCGTATATAGTTGATATTTCATAATATTTTTTATTTTTTATGATCTGAGAGTTACTTTTGAAAACATTTATTCCTGTTTCGAGGATTTTTGGTAATGAAGCGACTTTCATAATTTCCTGGAATGTTCAAAAATCGAGCTCATTAAAAAAATTAAAATTATTATGAAATATTAACTAAATACGAATGCGTCGAAAAACAATCGATGACTATTGTTTGTAAATTATTGATTATTTTACGATCCGAGTTGAATGTTGTAACTTTCCAAATTTTTATGGACGATACGTTATTCGGTATGAGTCGTTTTTAACAATTTTCTCCTTATAGACGCAACAGAGAGAAGTAAGACTATTATAGCAATCAAAAGCGCTTATTTTTCAACGTAAGCCTATACCCCCTTTCATTTTTCGCGAGCACTCGCTTTAAACCTAGATCTCCCGCATATTTGAAATGAGGTTTTTTGTAATTCAAGTATTCAGAACTAGCTTGAGAACCCAGCGTTGCCAGGGTATGATAGTTCTTCTCGCCGTTTACCTGCACTTGGTTGTAATTTATAATTTTTGCTATTTTTCACTATAAATGTCGACCCACTGAAGATAAAATCCCATTTTTGACGAAAATGTTGATATTGACGTCTAACTTTGTGACACCCTGTGTCTATTAAAACTTTTTGGTTCCGATAATTTCTCAAATACATTAGGTCAGACTAGTTTAAATAATGTTTATATAGGCCCCACTGTACTCCCTATCATAACTCTCTCACAGCTAATCCATAATCATAATTGAAAGACAGGTCCAAAATATAGGAAATTTTGTTCATCAGTACCGAAAATATAGGAAATATTGTACAGTAGTTCCGAAAATATAGGAAATATTGTAAACCATTTCAAAAAATATAGGAAATATTTTTCCGAAAACGTCGATATTGACATCTGTCCACAGCTCCAAATGTAAATAACAAATGAAGAAAAAAATTAGATGTCCCATATACACATTTTGGGTCAAGTGTAGACGATGTTCAAATTTGATTAAATTCTGAGGGAAAAATATGCTCTTGCCCATAATTTGTTTAGAACTTTCCCGTGATTCTCCCGAGTTCCTCAATTTAAGCAAAAAAATCATTGTCAAGAGGTTCCTGAGTTATGATCGGACAATAAAAAAACAGATAAACAGACATATGTTATAAATTCAATAAAATGTTAATTGTTTAAACATCTAGCTCTTTTGTGCAAAGAAAATACAAAATCTGGAATTCTGTTTTGCAATAAAATAAGTTTGATTTTATAACGGGAAATTTAAGAACACAAATTCAAAACTGCATCCAAGGGTTTCCAATTTCAACTGGCTTTTCTTCTCAAAATGAGAAGTTTTTTAATACGAAATAACTTACAATATACGCACCTCTACCCCTTTAGTAAAGGTATTAAGCATAAAGTCTGACCGCGTCAATCTTGTTGCACCGGCTAGTCCTGTTCATAGAGCTGGGCACAGTACAAACTGGGAACGGAAAGTTTGACCCGACTCGGAAATTCAAATGTACTTCGGCTGTCTTTGCAAATTCGAAACTTCTTTGCTCTCTAAGAATGAGGAATAGAAAACAATTGTTAGATAGTCTAAAAGAAAGTCAAAACAAATAGAAGAATATCTTAAACAAAACTGAAATTATAATCAGAGTAGCGCAATTTTTAATGTATTTAAGCACCCAACTCTAAAAGTTGTAAGATTTCTCATTATCATGCTTTTCATATTTTTGTGTTAGTGTCAAATCAACCAAATAAATACTTTCCATGTTGTTCAGTAGAAAAGATCATTATTTTTGTTTTCTTGTTATCTATCTATCTATCTATCTATCTATCTATCTATCTATCTATCTATCTATCTATCTATCTATCTATCTATCTATCTATCTATCTATCTATCTATCTATCTATCTATCTATCTATCTATCTATCTATCTATCTATCTATCAATTCATAATATTCGTTATACTAATATTTTCACAGGGTTCACAAGAACGCATAGATTGATAACAATACAGATAGAACACTAGATGTCGTCTTTTCAAGATTTAGGGGTTTTTCGTTCACAATAAATCTGGTTCTCTCTCTCTCTTGTAATTCAAAGCAGCATGCGCTTAACTCCTTTGGGCTTCTGCCTCAGAGTTATTGTGAACAAAAAACCTCTAAATTTTGTAAAGAAAAAACTAAGTGTTCTATCTGTATTTTTATTAATCTATGAAAGTATCATTCATTGAAGAAAATAACCTTATAAACATGGAAAATTTAATTAGCGAATTTGTGAAAGAAAAAATATTAATCTAAGTTTTTGATTTAATTATTTTTCAGAATTGGGAAAATTTTATTATTTATTTAGAAAAAAAATATAATCTTTAAAAACTTTTTCGAATAATGAATTCGCAGAATCTAGAAATGATTGGGTTGTTGTTAAAAAAATCACCGATCCAAAATGATTATTTTGTAAGTGGGATTTTCTATCGAATCATGAATGTAATCAATTCATAATTCTATTCTTCTTTTTAGCTTTAAACTTGGCAGAAATTATTAAATAATGAAATAATTGTATTTTCATTAATAAATCAAACCTGGAAAATCTTTAATATCTACATTCTCCATCATTTTTGATAAATATGGATTTACAGACAGACTACATTCTTGAAATCCCACGATTACGGGGTTTTACAATGGAAATTAAGTGACGACCCAGCAATATCGGCTTTGTTCCGCCACGTTGCATTATTACTTGAACAGACTTTTTTGTAGCATTCCAGTGAAAACAGAATAATCTTGGGAATTACAAAATTTGACTCCAAAATATTTTATTTTCGGAAAACATATTGAAAATACAAGAAAAACATGTAAATCCGCAATTTTGTTTTTAAAGGGAAAATTCTGAAGATGGAACAAATACTAAAAGTTGAAATAGAAGGTGGGCGCGAAGCGCCCTAATAGGAAAATTTAATATTATATTAAGATTAAATGTGAAAAAAAAAATCTATTTTAGAAAATCTTTTATTAGTTTTATTGGTTTAATAATGTTTTACACAAATACACCGATATGGTTCATGGTTGGCTGCAAAGCAGGATTTTGTTCCTCTCTCTAGTACCCAGCCACCTAAATATCGTAAAAATTACGCAATTACACATTGGATTTCAGTAACAGGTACAGTTCGTTTACGTTATTTGATGCATGTTTGGTATACGGTCCATGTACTGACTGTACAGTGCATGCATATAGCCTGAGAACTGTGCAGTGGATGTTTACAGTCCGTGCACTGTACATTGCATGTATTTAGTCCGTGCACTGTACAGATAATGTATATATAGTCTTTACTCTGTACAGTAAATGCGCAAATTCTGTGAACTGTACAGTTGAATTGCATGAATTGATTTGAACTTTGTAATGCTCATGTTTCATTTTTTCGTCTTGAATTTTATTCTTTCGTTAAAGTTTATATCAATTTTCGACTTACGGAAATCCGTTGTGAGTTTTTGATTTCACTCTTTATTACCGAAGCCAGGAGGTTTCCCGGGGGTTTATAATTTCCCCCGAGGGATTCAGATAAGTCTGGGTCTCCAGGGGATTCAAATTCCACTGGGGGGGGGGGGTATGCTTCCAGGCGTTAGTTTTTTTAATAATTTTAAATATAAAATGATCAGTTGTTATCTATATATAAATTTGGCTTGTCTGTCTGTTTGTTTGTCTGTCTGTTTGTTTGTATCCAATAAACGTCAAAACGGCTGAACCGATCGGGCCCAAATTTTTTGTGGGACATCACGTGACCACAGGGAAGGTTTATGAATGATAAAAATAAAACAAAAATGCGTTTTAAAGGTTTTTAATTTTGTAAACAAAATTCTAAAATCTTGAAAATGCGCGAATTTTTTTTTTAAATCCGCAAAAAATTTTTCTTCTTTGTTTTAAAATGTAAACAAAAAGAACATGTTCACAATTTAAATAGAAGATGGGCGCGAAGCGCGCTAAAGGCCTAGTAAGTTAAGAAAGACTATCCCAACATTTTAAAAAAACTATTATGATATAAGAATGACTGTTTGTGAAAATTAAGCGAGCTGAAGATTGAAACAGATATAACAACAATTTTGTTCCAAGTTTTTACTTTTTTACAATTTTTAGATTAATAAAAAATATCAGTAATGGATTCCTCTTTAACATTTATGATTTTGGAAAAAATAACGTCCAATTAGAGCAAAAAAAAACAAATCAAGAGAAGATCTTGTTAATAATTCTTTTATATAGAAAAATTTAAATGACATGGACAGAGAGAAAAAAAAAGAATAAAAATTGTTTTACTGAATTATTTTAACGATGATTTTGAAGATTTTGATTTTACGTTTACAGTTATATAAAATGCACTTGAGAAACGAACCAACAGATTAATTAATAACTTCCATACAAGAATTATAAGTGATTTTTTTTTACTTCTGTATGAACCAGAAAACAGTGGATTATTTACGGTAGTCTTCTTTATCTATATATAAATTTGGCTTGTCTGTTTGTTTTTCTGTCCGTCTGTCTGTTTGTATCCACTAAACGTCAAAACGGCAGAACCGATCGGGCCCAAATTTTTTGTGGGACATCACGTGACCACAGGGAAGGTTTATGAATGATAAAAATGTTGAAAAAATGTGTTTTAAAGGTTTTTAATTTTGTAAAAAAAAATTCTTGAAAATCCGCGAATTTTTTTTTCAAAAATCCGGAAAAAATTTTTCTTCTTTGTTTTTAAATGTAAACAAATAGAACATGTTCACAATTTAAATAGAAGATGGGCGCGAAGCGCCCTAAATGCTTAGAAAAAAGGGCGCGAAGCGCCTTGAATTTCTAGTACCTTTAAAATGACGGCTCCTCTGGATCAAACAGGAAGTTTGGATCCTGTTCAGCTTTCTCCAGAACAGACTCCATCAGTTTATCTTAACAACAGGAAACTGAACTGTTTACTTATGTAGAGTACAACAACAAAATTGTAACTGTTCACATGTTTACATCAAGTATGGTACAACAATAACACCACCATGAAGTTATACTACTTTACAACAATAACACTGTAAAGCTGTACTAGAAAACAACAGCAATAGTACAACAATAACACTGTACAGTTGTACTAGAAAACAACATCAATAGTACAACAATAAGACTGTACACTGTACAGTTGTACTAGAAAACAACATCAATAGTACACCAACAAGATTGTAAAGTTGTACTAGAAAACAACAACAATCGAACAGCAATGAAACTGAACAGTTGTACATGAAAACAACAACATTAGTACAACAAGAACACTGTACAGTTAGTTGTATATGAAAATAACAACAATAGTAGAAAAATAACACTGTAAAGTTGTACTAGAAAACAACAAAAATAGTACAACAATAACACTGCAAAGTTGTACTAGAAAACAACAACAATAGTACAACAATAACACTTTACAGTTGTACTAGAAAACAACAATAACAATAAAACTGTAAAGTTGTACTAAAAAACAACAATAGTACAGCAATAACACTTTACAGTTGTACTAGAAAACGACAAAAACAATAAAACTGTAAAGTTTTACTAAAAACAACAATAATACAGTAATAACACTTTACGGTTGTACTAGAAAACAACAATAACAATAAAACTGTAAAGTTGCACTGAAAAACAACAATAGTACAACAATAACACTTTGCAGTTGTACTAGAAAACAACAACAAGAGATCTATGGAATACAGACTTCATTATTCTGCAGATTAATAAACATCGAGGTCAAGCATTGATCTCGATATCCAAACTACAAGATTTCCCAGCTCAGCATTACTTTGGGATTTTCCCAAATGTGCTTTTTTGCAAATATTTTTTTAGAATTACCTTTCAGTTGTTTGTAGACTTTTGGTGATAGTTCTCCTGCTTGGAACTTTCCGTCAATGAAGTCGCTGAAAAAGTTGGTTAAAATAGTATCAGGTAATTTCCCAAGGAGCCACTTCCAAATGTGCAATTTCCCTTGTGGCAACTTCTCCAAGGTAAGTTTAGGCCTTCTAAGGCGCCACAGGCTGCAACGGGGGCCGAGTGCCGTGGGCAGGATGGGCTACAGGGCCAAGTGCTGCAGCTAGGACAGACTTGGGAAAATATCACGTGGGAACATACCATTGGAAAGTTGCCACTCGGAAAAATGCCTTTGGGAAAGTATCTAACATCATAAAAATACACATCTGGGAATTCAGGGTGCTCAGCACAAGTTATTTAGTTACAATATTGTATTTTTTCTCAGCATATGAAAATTCACTATATATTGTAAGAATATTTTTATAGAATTTCCGTACTTCTAGATTTAAAAAAATCAGTCTATGTGAAAGAGAAAAACTAACTTTTTTTTGAAAATAGGATATAAATTTAGTTTCACTTAATCTACTGATTAAAAAATTTTGGCTTAATTCTGTTTTTGTATTTTAAGAATTATAGCCAAAATCCGTTTCTGAAAAATTAAAATAAAATTTTAAGCAAATCAAACAATCATTTTATGGAAGAATATTATTTGTGGTGTTTACTTCAGAGAAAAGTTTTAAACTTCTTTTAGGCAACCTAACAATTTTTGTAAAGAAGTTTAAAGAACTATAGCAGAGGACGGTGAAGGTACCAAGGTGACCAAAGGTCTCCAGTTTTGGCGACTTTCTTTGGGGAATTTCCGGGAAATTTCTGGAGAACAAGTTCTCGTGACTGACTCCTCGGAAATTCTCAAGAAATTCTCCGAAATTGGTCCCAAATTTGAGAGATTTTAGGGGATCAGAGATTAATGACTAAGTTTCGAGAAATTAATGAATAAATTTCTCCTGATTTTTTTCCCAAGAAATTACTGAGAATGTCTCCAAAGTTTTTCCCAAGAAATTCATAAGAATATTTCTCCGAAAATTCCTGAGAAATGTTAAGTACTTTGTCACCAATTTTACGGAATTTTAAGGGAACTGAATAAGTGACATTGTCTTGAGAAATTCCTGAGAATTTATCAGGAACTTTTCCTGGAGAAAATCCTGAGAAACTCTTCGGAATATTTCTCTGGTAATTTCTGAGAAATTCTTAGGACTTGGTCACCAATTTTACGGATTTTTTGGGAGAAATTTTCGAGAAATTCCTGAGAACTTATATGGAATTATTCTCAGAACTTCATTACCAATTTTAAATATTTTTTAGCTACGTTTTTCTTCAATAGTTGTATCTGAGATTCCCTTCTATTATCTTTTTTTATTTGTATCCTTATTGATAAACAATGATGATTAACTTTAGAAACCATCTTTAAAAAATTTTCTTTATGAAAAATATAATTTTTTTCATTTGTTCTTGACAATTCAGTTGCCTGAAAAAAAAACAAAATACGAGACAACTCAGTAAGATCAAAACAAGTAAAACATTCTGACTTTAAAAGTAGGTATGTGTGTCAAGATATTCCTGAGAAGTTCTTAAAAGTATTGGGAATAGTTCCAAGAAAATTCCCAGAAATTGGTTCTTAAGAACTTTTCTTTCGATATAACCAAGAATTTCCCCAAATTTGGTCGACATTTTCTCTGGTTATTCTTCAGAATTGGTAACAAGAAATTCCCTGGAATTCGTTACAAGAAGTTCCTTGGATATGGTTCTAAAAATTCCTCGGAATGGTTTAAAAGAAATTCCTCAGAATTGGTTACAAGAAATTCCTCGGAATAGGTTACGAGAAATTTCTCGGAATGGGTCACAAGAAATTTTCTCAGAATGGGGTAGAAGAAATTCCTCAGAATTGGTTCTGATATATTCTAAGGAAATAATCACAAGAGAATCTCCAGCCCAGACCAAACCCTAATTGCTACTGTACGGTGTTTATCCCAGGAATTTCTCAATAGAGAATCTTTCCCAGGAAATTCTTGAGAAATCTCCAGTTTCTGTCGACATTTTCACCAGATTTTCCTGTGAGAGATTCCTGGGAATTTCCGCAAAATTGTTACCTGGGTAAGATGCGGAGGAAGGGGAAATGGAGATGAGAGAGGAAGAGGAGTCGGGAAGGGGAAGGAAAGAAGAGGGAGAAAGGAAAGATGAGAGGAAAAAAAGAAAAGAAGGTAAGATAAGGGAAAAAATGGTAAGGAAAGAGGAGGAAGAAGAAGTAGGAAAGAAGAGCCATATAGGGAAAGGGAAGAGGAAGGAAGAAAGGGTAAAAGAAAGATGAAGAGTTTTTAATTTTCCAGTTTTATTACCTAAAATTAAGGATGAGTTCTGCTTCCTCCTCTCTGGCTTTCTCCTCTTCAGAAAACCTCTTTTCCTTATCCTCATCCCTTAAAAACAAGAGAGAGATTAGAAACCAGAAAGCTTAGAAACTCTAGAAAGCTTATAAACAATAGAAAGCTCAGAAACCCTATAAAGCTTATAAACAATAGAAAGCTTAGAAACCATAGAAAGCTTAAAACAATTGAAAGCTTAGAATTAATAGAAAGCTTAAAAACAATAGAAAGTTTAAGAAACTATAGAAAGCTTAGAATCAATAGAAAGCTCAGAAACCCAAGAAAGCTTAGGAACAATAGAAAGCTTAGAAACAATAAAAGCTTACCAACAATAGAAAGCTTAGAAACAATGGAAAGCTTAAAAAGGCGGAAATGTCCAGATTTGTGAGAAATCCGCAAAACGTTTTAAGATTATTTAAAAACTTATTCTGTTGATGATTGTAAAAATTAGAATTAAAGAAAAGAAAGTTTTGTCGTAACAATTGAGTGACAAATTTTTCTAGAATATTGGTTTTATTGCATTATGACATTTGTGATACGTGACAAATTTACAGCGCAATTTCTCTTCTTTTTCCTAGTTGTTAATTTTGAAGAAAAACTGCAATTTGAAATGAAAAAGTTGAGGAAGAAAAAAAATGATATCTCTATCTTAAAATATCTTTACATCTCAATTGTTAATTTTGTCAATTTTGTAAAGTTGAAAATTCCGAAAGTTTTGTAACAAATTTTGATCAGATAAGGTTTTCAAGGATACTGTTATGAATCGGGCATTGTCAGCTTTGCATGGAGGGTCATTGGAAATGAAGCTTAAAGTCTCTTTAAGTTTTAAAATAGCAAGAGTTTTTTTAAGTTTACTGAAACATTTTGTTTTGTCTGTTTTTAATGTTGCTTCCTTTTATTACCCTTATTAACCTTTTATTCCCCGGATGTACCTTTTGTTCCCCGGATGCTGAACTAGAAGGGAGTTTATCAGTTCCAGGTACATTAAACCTTCAGCTTCCGGCATCTAAACATTCCCTCTGGTTAATTGATTGATTGATTGATTTACAGTCAACCAATTGATTTTATGAATAACTAGCTGAAGTGCCCGTTGAATAAAATTTTGAATTTAGAAAAAAACGAGAAAAAAAATGTTTTTTTTTTTACCCGCACTTGAACGATTTTACCGGGAGAACAAATTTTCACTATTAATGTCGACTCACTCAACTTAAAATCTCAAAACCAAGCTGAAGACATTTCTATGGTTCTCCCAAGTTCCCCAATCAAATTTAAGATAAATCGCCATTCATTCAGCAAGGGGGGGGGGGTGCAAAACGAAAGCATTTTTGCGGGCAAATTTTTTTTTATTGGGAGGCATTCTTTTTAGTTTGGGGCAAATTTGTGTGGGAAAAATCTTAAATTTATATTTCAGGGGCAAATTTTATTTTTTGGGGGAATTTTTTCCGTTGGGGGAAATCTTAAATCTTTGTTTTATGGGAAAATTTTATCTTTGAGGAGCTTTTTTAATTTGGGCAATTTTGTGTATGGGAAATCTTAAATTTTAAATCTTTAAATAGCATTTCCAAAATATATGAAGAGGCTTTTTTAATCTAAAGGTTATTTTTTTGATGGGCGCAAAACGTTTTGGAACATTATCTTTAAAGAAGGAGGGGCATTTTTTCGATGGGGCTGTAAATTTGAAAGTTGGGTGTATTTATAAAACTTTTGGGGATAAGAAATCAAATTTAGTGCAAATTTAGTGGCATTCATAAAAACTAAGGGTTACAATTGTTGAACAAAGGGGCAAATTAAAGTCTGGTGGGTCAATTTGAATAAGAATGTGTGAGTGTGAGTGTAATTTAAAAAATCCAAGATGGGGGCTTTTTTACAATCTATTTTAATAACTATTAATTATAATTCTCTCTTCAGCAATCAATTTTAATAACTAGTAAATATGTAGCTGAAGTGCTCAACGTTGCCCGTGAAATCTATAAAACACTGAGGAAAAATTTGGAAGGAAAAAAATGCAGAATTTTATTTAGCCTATGTTACCCTAAGGATACCCATGAGTTTTCTAAAAAAAATCACCCATTTTAGTTTGTAGGTCAACTGCTAGGCCAGTTATATCTAACATATATATGATATATGAGCGAAGAACTTTATTATATATATTTCTAAAGGTTTGCTGACCTTTTCGTTTTCGACGAGCTCCATGAAGAAAGAGACTACCCCGACCTCGTCCCCTGTCACCCGGACATACTCAGCCAGGTCCTCAGCTACCTGCAGGATATTGTCCTCGTCCTGTATTAGAGGGACAGATCCTAGTCTTAAAGCTGTTAAAAAAGTGTCGGTTTTTACCGGTCATCTTATTGTACAGTCGTCGTCGCATATTAATACAAGAAAGACGACTTTCGATTTGAATTTTTATTTATATCAAGGTTGTTAAACAGCATGGATACATATAACATGGAAGGAAACAAAGAGAATTTGCCAATTAAAAAAGGTCCTCTTTATCTACTTGTAAACTTTCAATTCGAGAAAAGCTTGTAACAATCAAAACTTAAAAAAAATCGTCTTCATTGTATTAATATAATCGCCGAACACTTCAGGACCCACAATACTGTGAAATAATTTTATTATAAAAATTTTAATCTTATGAACTTTATTGCACTGTACTGTACTGTGTTGTACTGTACTATACTGTACTGTGCTGTGCTGTGCTGTACTGTACTGTACTGTACTGTACTGTACTGTACTGTACTGTACTGTACTGTACTGTACTGTACTGTACTGTACTTCAAAGTACTGTACTATACTATATTACACAGCAGCTACCTGTTGTCCGACATGTACATCTTGTTGTACCTCTCCATCATTTTCCAGAACCTTCTTATGAAGATTCAAGGCTGGGATATCCAACTCATTTACAGCCTTCACAAACCGGAAATAGTTTTGTACAGTAAACTTTATCATCAGAATAAACCGTACTACCGAACACTAATCTATACATAAACCGTACTGCCATACACAAAACTGTACATGAACCGTACTGCACGTACACTAACCTGTACATGAACCGTACTGTCTTACACTAAGTTGTATATGAACCGTTATGCCTTACATTACCTGTACATGAACCGTACTGCCTTATATTAACCTTTACATGAACCGTTCTGCCATATACTAACCTGTACATAAACCGCACTGCTGTACACTATACTGTACTTGAACCATTCTGCATATACACTAACTTTAACATGAACCGTACTGCCGTACACTAACCTGTACATGAACCGTACTGCCTTACACTGACCTGTACATGAACCATACTGTCTTACGCTAACCTGTACATGAACTTTAATGCCGTACACTGACCTGCACATGAATAATACTGCCGTATTCTAACTTGTACATGTACCGTACTGCCGTACACTGACCTGTACATGAGGTTTCTGTCCGGGTTCTGCACTGCCAAGACCATAGTGACGGAAAGAGCTTAAGATCTTTCCATTCTCAGAAACTAGAAAATTTTAAATATGACAATTTATCAAAAAATATTGGATCATTGTTAAAATATATTGGAATTAGAAAAATGTGGAATAATTTTTATTACTTTTACATGTCGCAACTTATTATGCCTACCGCCGGTTCAGCGACGTTATTCGATTCATTAAATTCGGTCTCAGGACACATATTTAGCTGGTTCAGTTGCAACTATACATTTTATAATCAATGGATTTTTTTTACCTTTTGCATTATTTTCCTCCTGGGTATGTATTCTTCCATTGATATTTGAATACTCGGATTTAGAGGATTCAAGCTTGGCAAAGTTGTGCAGTGGGAGTTTAGACCTAAAATATTAGAGATACAGTGATAACCAGAAAACTATGAAATAGAAGACGACCTTTAGAGTTAAGGTTTGCCTAAAAAAAGTCAATTGAGCATGAGACAAAGCCATTGTGCAGTGTAAACAGACCCATTCGTCAAATAAATGATTTAATAAGTGCCCAGTAAAACTATTTGCTTTGTAACAAAATATAATACTCTTCAAATATTTCCAAAATGTCGTCTTCCTATTCCCTTGTTTTCTGGTTATTACTGTATTAAACTATCTGATAAACTAGGTAAGGATGGGTTAAATTAAAGGGACTGTAGGATGGGTTAAATTAAAGGGACTGTAGGATGGGTTAAATTAAAGAGACTGTAGGATGGGATAAATTAAAGGGACTGTAGGATTGGTTAAATTGAAGGGAATGTAGGATAGGATAAATTAATGGGACTGTAGGATGGGTTAAATTAAAGGGACTGTAGGATGGGTTAAATTAAAGGGACTGTAGGATGGGATAAATTAAAGAGACTGTAGGATTGGTTAAATTAAAGGGACTGTAGTGTAGGATGGGTTAAATTAAAGGGACTGTAGGATGTGTTAAATTAAAGGGACTGTAGGTTGTGTTAAATTAAAGGGACTGTAAACGTAACTTCAAGTGACTCTCACAAAGGTACACCCTTTTTTTAATCAAGTATGAAAAACAATTAAGAAAAAAACAGAATTGAGCCCTTTTCAAGATAAACCGTACTTAATCAGTAGTTATAATGGAGTCCATTATAACTACTTTAATCTTTTTTAATTTTTGAATCAAATAAAAATTTAACGTTTAATTGAAAGATCATTTATGAAAAAGCATATTTTTTAAAGAATTATTTGGAACATTCTTTGTAAGCTTGGAATTTCTAATAAAAAGATTGATCATTTCTTGTAAATCCAATAAAAGAACAAAAATAGTAAATATTTGCTCCATATTTTCTAGGGGAAAATTACTTATTAGAGAATATTTATAATATTATAAATAACTAGCTGAAAGGCCCGCCATTGCCCGTGAAAAAAATTTGAAAAAATATATTTTTAAAAAATGAGTGTCCGCAAAAAAATTCAGTCCAATCGGTCCAGCCGTTTGGCCGGCTATATATACGACATATATACGAATGTCTTGTTCTATTCTATAGATAACAAGCTTAAGAGCTCGGCGTTTCCCGTGAAAAAAAAATGTTGGAAAAAAAATTTAACTTTTTTTTAGCTTATGTCACTCACAGGCTACCCATGAGTGTCCACAAAAAAATTCCTACCATTCGGTCCAGCCGGCCAGAGGGAACATATATATGAATGTCTTGTTTTATTATATAGATTTGCTCAATATTATAGAGAATATTTATAATCTATATATAAATTTGGCTTGTCTGTCTGTTTGTTTGTCTGTTTGTTTGTTTGTTTGTATCCAATAAACGTCAAAACGGCTGAACCGATCGGGCCCAAATTTTTTGTGGGACATCTAGGGACCCCAGGGAAGGTTTATGAATGATCAAAATTTCAAATATTTGTCTCCATCAAAATTCGATCTTCATTAAATTTTTGAAAATTTTGAAAATCCACGAAATTTTTTGTGAAAATCCGCGAATTATTTTTGTTTTGTTTTACGATGTACACAAAGAGAACATGTTCACAACTAATTTAGAAGATGGGCGCGAAGCGCCCTCTAAGGCTAGAAAGAAGGGCGCGAAGCGCCTTGAATTTCTAGTATTATAAATAATGTATGTATCGTAATACAGATTGGAACAGAAATGATTTAGAGAAATATAAATCATCTCTAAAAATATTCCAAATAGTCCAAAAGATCGTATGTGTGAAATGTGTGAAATATACTGTTGGTATGGTAACTATTCAACAAAATGACGGGTTTACACATTTTTGGAATAAATTCCTTTCTATTATTGTGGAGAACAATATTAGAGTTAAGCTGATTCTAAAATATTAGAGTTAAGCTGATTCTAAGATTATTTAGAACTGAAGACCTTGACTTGTCAGCAAGTTATTCAGAGTTTCAAGATTCAAAATTCTTCTCATTCAAAGTTGACATTGTAGATCAAATTTTTCCTTCTTTACAATAACAAAATCGCTATTTTCAGTAGCATTAATGTTTGGAATCCCTTAAGACTAAGTTTTACCTTTAAAGGACAGCAATTAAAATTTGAAACCGGTCAAAGGTTTCTTGAGTTATGACAAACAGACTTAAAACCATGGATTACAACTTTATATATATACTAGCTTGGGTCCCGTGGTCCTGCCGAGTTAATCAACAAAAATTGAGACTAATCGGTCCAGGGGTTCATGAGTTCTGATCGGACAAGCTTGGTTCCAAAATCTACCAACCCTAATATAGATATGCATTTGTATATATACATAGAATTTCATAAAGCGTCAAACGCTTGACAAAAATCTTTTTCTGTTTTTACACTTCATCATTTATCGTTCTGTTAAGATAAATTGTATTAAAAAATATATTTATAGCATTTTTTTTGAAGAAAAATCAAAATCAGATTTGCCTCGAACTTTGATTAGAGAACTTGGTAGAACAACGGGAATGTTCTCAGCATTTGGTTTAAAAATTCTAAGTTGAGTGGATTGACTTTTTTAAGGGAAAACTTTAACTTAAAGGGAGTGTTCGCGAAAAATGAAAGGGGGAATAGGCAATATGCGATAAAAAAGCGCTTTTGATCGCTACTAATATTACTTCTATCTGTTGCGTCTATAAGGAGAAAATTGTTAAAGACGTCTCATACCGAATAACATGGCGTCGATACAAATGGAGAAAATTGCAACATACGACTTAGACCGTAAAAAAAATCAATTTAATTTTAAACAAAACATTCAGATATTACAACCTAAAGTCATCGATTATCTTTCGCCACATTTATATATAGTTGATTTTTCATAATATGTTTTAATTGTTATGATCTGAGAGTTACTTATAAAAACGTTTATTCCTGTTTCGAGGATTTTTGGTAATGAAGACGACATTTTCATATTTTCCAGTAATGTTCGAAAACAAGTTGTAAGCTAAATATTATTTTAAAAAACAAAATCAAAACTAGCATAAAATATTGAATATATACAAATGTGGCGAAAGATAATCGATGACTATAGGTTGTAATATCTGAATGTTTTGTTTGATATTATGTGACGTCTTTATCAATTTTTTCCTTATAGACGCAACAGATAGAAGTAAGATTAGTAGCGATCAAAAGCGTTTTTTTATCGCATATTGCCTATTCCCCCTTTCATTTTTCGCGAACACTCCCTTTAAATTTCCAGAAATTCCTTCTGACCTTGGGTTTAAGCTTTAAGAGAAGATTACACTTTGACGTCATTTTGTAGGACTATGCAGAACTAGTTTGGGAACCCAGCGCTTCCCAAAATTTACTTCCGCTGTTTACCCGGATTTAATCGATCTCACCGGAAAACTAAATTTTCCCTATAAAAGTCGACCCACTCAATTTAGAATCTCAAAATCAAGCTATGAACATTCCCGTGGGTCTCCCGAATTCCCCAATCAAAATCTGCGGCAAATCGGTCCCGGGATTCCAGAAATTTGAAAACAAACCTCTTAGCAACTGGTTTAGTGTTCTCCTCCTCCTTATCGTCCTTCTTCTTGCTGTAGGACTCCACCTGCTCAACCTTGATGGGCTCCAGCCTCCACCTTTTATGCTTCATTAACCCTAGAGCCTGGGCATCCTCGTCCCCAGGGATCTAAAGGATAATAATAAAGATAACAAAAATAGTAATTAGCTGAAGTGCCTGGCGTTGCCCGTAAAATTCGAATTTAGAAGAAAACAAATTTCAAAATCTTTAGCCTATGTTGGTCTCGCCGTTTAGTCAGCTATAGCTGAAATATTTAATAATAACAATAACTAGCTGAAGTGCCCGACGTTGCCCGTGAAATTTTTTTCAATTCGAATTTGAAAAAAAGTTTAGATTTTTGAGAGAAAAAAATTTCGCTTAAATAATTATATTTTTTACTGATCTATGATTCCCAAACAAAGGGACGTTAAATTACTTAACGTTCATTGGGACATTAAGTAAAAAAACAGTTTTAGTGAAAAAATACTTTTTCGGGATATTAAAGGGCTCCTAAGGGCTTCCTAGGTGAGGTAAAGTTCCCTCAAATTCCCTTGTAAAGAAGTTGTATAGGCAATCAAGATCTGAATAAAAATTACTTTTAAAGTAAAGAATGATTTTTTGACTCACCACGGGGAGGTTACTGACTCGTTTCCGCACAATATGGAGGTCCGTTGGAGTCCCCCGGACTGCATGGAGATCCGCTGGAGTCCCACAAACTAGGCTACAAATAGATAAGGTAAAGGATCCAGCTGGGAACTCTTGTTTATGGATTTCAAGATAGATCAATGAATGATTTCGACCTTTAGTTGATATGATGATTAATTTTTAATCTTTGTACCATAGAAAAATACATAAGTTAGCTTATGTACGCAAAATCATCCAGAATTGTACAGTCCGTGAACTCACACTTCTTGGGGTCAAAGTGTACTTCAATGACAAGCGGGGTGGATTGGTCTTTTACTGGATTTTATGATAATAATATATCACTAATGATTTTATTTTTGTTTAGCATATTGAATTGAACCTTTACATGAATTGTACACTTTGAACTCCGTTTCAGGCTGAAAGGGACTGACAAAATTCATACCAAGTGATTGTATAAATTCCACTCTAAGTATAATAATCTATTTTTTTTTGGTTTTAATGGATTTCATGATAATAATAGAGGACTAATGATTTCATTTTTGTTTAGCATATTAAAATGAATATAAATTAAAGGTCATAAGATAAGATAAGATAAGATAACGTTTATTGCTAAAATAAATGTATCTGTAT